AGAGACAGAGAGAACTGAAGAAGAGAGAGGAGGAGAGAAGGAGTAGAGAGGAGAGAGAGAAGAGAGGGAGACGAGACCCCGACGGACGAACTCGAGAGAGAGAGAGAATAGAGAGAGAGAGAGAGAGAGAGAGAGGAGAGGAGAGAGAAGAGAGAGAGAGAGAAGAGAGAGAGAGAGAGAGAGAGAGAGAGAAGAGAAGAAGAGAGATGGGAGCAAGAGATAGAGAGAGAGGAGAAGAGAGAGAGATGGAGAGAGAGAGAAGAGAGAGATAGAGAGAGAAGATGAGAGAGAGAGAGAGAGAGAAGGAGGAGAGAGAGAGAGAAGAGAGAGAGAGAGAGAGAAGCGAGAGAGAGAGAGATAGAGAGAGAGAGAGAAGATGAGTAGGAGAGAGATAGGAGAAAGAGAGAGAGAGAAGATGATAAGAGATAGAGAGTATATATAGAGAGAGATAGAGAGATAAGAGAGAATAGATGAGATAAGATATATATATATATATATATATATATATATATATATATATATATATATATATATATATATATATATATATATAATATATATATATATATATAAATATATATATATATATATAAATATATATATATATATAATATATATATATATATATATATATATATATATATATATATATATATATATATATATATATATATATATGCATATATATATATATGCATATATATATATATGCATATATATATATATATGCATATATATATATATATATGCATATATATATATATGCATATATATATATATATGCATATATATATATATGCATATATATATATATATATATATATGTTTATTGATATTGATATTGATGTAATTCATATATATATTTTATATGTATATACATGAATATATACATATATATATGTATAGATGTTTATAAATATTACATGATATATGTACGATTTTCTCTACACATAAATGCATTTATGATTTGATCATATATATTGCTTTTGTCTCCTTTGAATGTTGAAAGAAATTTTTATCTGATTTTTTATTTCTTTGTTTTTCAGTTGAGAACGAGAGCCATTGTGATTTTACAAAACTTAGAGAAATGTTGATCCGCACTAACATGGAAGACATGCGAGAAGTGACTCATAGTAAACACTATGAACTTTATCGAAAGAAAGTCCTTGAAACAGTAAGATTCTTCATAAATTTTATAATGGTTTTGTAAAATCTTGTGTAATTTTGTTATGTATTATGTTGAGGCTCTCATTACTCAGATATTTCTTGTGTTTTTAGATGGGATTCACAGATGTGGGCCAGGACAATCAGCCAGTAAGCTTCCAACAGACATTTGAGCAGAAGCGTGTAGAGCATCGAGAGGAGTTACAGCGCAAAGAAGATGAAATGAGGCAAACATTTGTGCTCCGTGTTAAAGAGAAGGAAACTGAATTAAAGGAAGTAGAGAAGGAGGTAAGGGAATTGAGTGCAAGCATAATACAGTGGGTATATCCATAGTGAAGTGACAATTTCTTTAGGCATGTTTTGATCACTTTGTGATGCCATAGACTGTAGTAATTTATTTTCAGTGATAGTATGGTATGCAGTAACAGGGTAGTAATTATTATTGAGGAGAACAGTTGTCCTACCCTTTTTTTTCTAGTAGATTGTTGTTGTTTATAATAGTAATCATGATAATTATCCTGTTATTTGATTGCCCATTTGTTGGTGCTATTTTCAGTTATATACAAAGTACGACCAATTGAAGCGCGAACATGCAGATGAAAAGAAGAGGTATGAGGACTCAAAGAAGCAGTTGGAAGAAGAGAAAGCTGAATTCCAGAAGTACAAGCAACAGGTTGCATCACAGCAGCTTAGCCACCATACACTCACACTTGGCAAAAGGAACAAAAAGTAATAAAGCATGAACTTTGTGAGAAGACAGAGGAAGAAGGAAGGAAATGCAGATTTATTTCATATGGCATTTATGGTATATATGGTTAGAAAAAAAGGAAAAGAAAGTGTTTACAATTTTTGTATACTGAAAGATATTTTAAATTTCTGATATTTCAACCATTTATTTAGGTATAGCTCTTGGTTTTTGTGAAGAAAGATTCAACATTGTTATAAAGTCATGTAACATGTACAATAAGTAATTAATTTGAGATGCATTTTTTATCAGGCACATTTATAAAGTGATAGTTAATGCCTTGTCATAAAGATTGATGGCCAGCTTGCTTAGTTTAGCAAACTAGAAAAGAAGAAAATTGACCAACAGTTATTTTATGTGTTTTAAAAAGTACATATCAATTTTCTATCAAGAATGTTGCCCTGTTGAATGAAAGGTTAAAAAAGGCATTTTTCTTAATTTTATTTCTTTTTCCATATTTGTTTCCCTTTTTTTTTTTTATTATTATTCTTGTGATTTTATCCCAGGCACATGGGAAATAGACTATAGGATTAAGTTCTTTGCTTTATGCCTACATTTCCAGGACCCTCTCTCTTCAAAGTATGGATTAAGTTGAACCACAGATGTTATTTGAGATTGCAATGTGTTCCAAGCTTTATTTCAGATGCGTTTAAGAGAAGTGAAGGGTAAAGACAATATATGGTCATTGCCAATACAGATTGTTTGCTTTATGTCACTTCATAATAGAGATAGAGGAATAATAAAGAAAAAAAAAAGATCAGTATTATGCTGTGTATTCAGTGATATTGGGTCCTTTTTTATATAAACAAGTCAAATAGAAAAGAGAAAGATTGAGAAAATGTGACAAATGTACTTATATAATTTAAGACTGGAGTGTGGGAGTGAGAGTGAGTGGGAGTGGGAGTGTGAGTGTGGGAGTGGGAGTGAGTGTGAGTGTGGGAGTGAGTGTGAGTGTGGGAGTGAGTGTGAGTGTGGGAGTGAGTGTGAGTGTGGGAGTGAGTGTGAGTGTGAGTGTGGGAGTGAGTGAGAGTGTGTGTGAGAGAGTGTGCGTGTGCGTATGCGTGTGTGAGTGTGTGTGTGTGGGGGGGGGGGGGGGGCGAGGTGAACATCTGTCAGAGAGAGTTGGTAAGAATGTATGTATGTCCATATGCATATATATGAATATATATATATATATATATATATATATATATATATATATATATATATATATATATATATATATATATATACACACACACACACACACACACACATATCCATACATGTACATGCATATACAGATATGTATAGATATACATATCTATACATATGTATATACATATGTATATATTCCTATGTATATGTATATATACATGTATATATGCATATATAAATGTATGTATACATGTATATATATATACATATACAAATTTATACATATTTATACTTATACATATATACACATATATTTGTACCTATATATGCACACATATGTATATGTATATATATGTATATGTTATATATAATGTATGTATATATAGATATATGTATATAATTTTTATACATACATATTTGTATGTATTGATATAATATGTATATTATATATAATATATTTATATATATTTATACATATTTATACATATACATATTCATGCATATTCATTCCAAGTACATTGTGTGATGTTAATGGCAATTGATGTACAAGAAAAATGGATTTCATAGTAAAATACAGTCTGTGAAATTAATTTTATTCCAGTTTTTTTAATGCATAGATTATATACTTAACTGAATGGATTTTTGATAACTGGGATAGTTTGTCCATTTCTTACAATGAAGATTCCTCAATGAAAGTTCTGTTTTTTGTAATGATATCTAGCATGAATGTCAGAGGTGTTCAGCCTCAGCTAAGTAGTTTGATAAGTTTGATATGTTTTTAATAGTAGAGTAACAAATATGCTTGTTTTAAATTGTAAGTTGACACAGGCAAAAGATGAATGATAGTATGTAAATGTATTGTAGTGGATATATATCAGAAGTAAGACCAGTCATTGTTGATTTTTTATTTTCTGTTCATTTCAGAAACCTAATCTGAATTCCAAAGATATTTACATTTAATAAGTAAAGTCTGTAAATCCTAAAAGATAAAACTACTTTAGAAGTTGATGCTACTACTTAGGTGGTGTGATATGTAAATGCAAGTAACCAGCTATATCAAAGCCTATGTGTCTTGCTTTTATTCAGAAAGTTTTTACAACTTTAAAGTCACAGTAATCTTAACATTCTCTCTCCTCCTAATGCAGTATCTTCCTTCCTTCCTTCCTTCTCTGCTCCCCCCCTTCTACCTCACTTTATCCTTCTCCACAGTCTCATTTCATAATTTTCTATATCTCATTCTTCATCATTTAGCATACTATCAATGTGTTCCACAATGCTAGGAGTATTATTTAATGTAAGATGAATCAACTTTGTTTTTAGTTTACTAAGGCATAATATAAGTAGCTGATAAATGTTATCTTCCATTTCTGTCAGTTTTGTGTGGACTTCCAAAAAAATTCTACCAAAAATTAGTTGTTTTAGTGCCTTATGGTGTATCGTGAAATATTAAAAGATAAAATGTCAAGGTGGTGTTTTAAGTAATTCTTTCATTTTATTTACAAGTATCCCAAAATCCTTTAAAGCCAAGTACATCTCTTCTTCAATAGAACTTAACCCAATCGGCACAGATGGCAAGAATACATGGCATACCAACTGTAATATAAGTTTCCCGCAATTTTAAGGAATGGGGACCACCAAATCCCTTGCCTTTGTTGTCATGGGGGGCTTAGGAGGTGAGGACAGGGACTTAATACTGGGGATTTCCCCTGCCTTGCCCCCCCCCCCCCATCCTATGCCGTTGTTGTCATGGGGGGGCTTAGGAGGCGGAGACTGGGACCCAATGATGGGGAACTCCCCAACCTTGGGACTCAGCCCTCGACTCAACTAATTATGCATGGTCTTTTTTTCCCTTCCCACTTTTGTTTCTGTCCCTTCACCAAACCCTTCTGCTATCCACCTCCTAAGGTGTGAGAGCCGTGCTGAAAGGATGAAAGGCTGACTTTGTGCCAGTCCTGAACGGCCTGAGGGAGCCATGGGCACGGTATTCCCCTGATTTAGTTATCTAGCCCTTACCCCTCAAGGGGACCCTGAGGGGTGGACTGCTTTTATCCCCAACATAATCCAGGCTTCCCATGGCCAGTAATGAAAATATATCTCCACTATTAGGGGCAATGAGGCTTGCCCCTTTATCAAATAGCCCCAACGAAGTAAACCCACCTGATTCCCCGACCCCAGGCTCTCCTTTGACCACGGCTCCGAACACTGCAATAACTACCCCTTCACCAATGCCTACTAGTACAGTAGCCAATAATCAACCCTCAAGGAACATTTCCACTCTCCCAGCATGCCCAACTTCAACACCTCTACCCCCACAACCTCCAACATCAACCACCCCATCCTCCCTTATTAATACCTTACAGCCTTATAGCCCACCTCTCCATAACACTACCTCCATCAACACTACTCCATCCTCGTCACGCCCTCGCCCTTCTACCACCCCTATCTCTAAAACAATCTTGAATACTCTCTTCAGTGCAGCCAAATGGGACCGATTTTTCGTGATCCCTCCCACAGCTCCCTACTCTGACAACACCCTTCTCTTCCAACAATGCCTCCAAAAACAAGTAGGTAAAGTCTCTTTCCGTAGCCGACCCGACCGCTCCCGTCTTGTAACAGTAACATCCGAAAACCAAGCCATAGCACTAACAAAACTAACTGACCAATATGGTAACCCCATCCTAGCAGAACCCCATCCAACCCTCAATACTTGCACCGGAACAGTCTCAATCTCACCAGCAAATTGCCCAATCTATGACAAAGATTGGTCAGATTGTGGAGAAGATCTACTTGCCTGTCTCACAGACTACGATGCAACATCAGTACAATGCTACTTCCATCCCCCCCAGAGGTCATCGAAAGAAACCCACTAACATAGCCAAAATTACCTTCCGTAGACATGACCTTCCCTTTAACGTCTACATAGGAGGAGAATCCCTCCCTGTTCGTCCATACCAACCTCCTCCACGTCAGTGCCAAAATTGTTGGCGTCTAGGACACCCAGCCAAACACTGCCATTCCACAGCCAGATGCCCATTATGTGCCCAACCTGGCCATACCCGATCTAACTGCTCTGCACAATCACGCACATGTGCCAACTGTGGCGGCCCCCATAATGTATTTTATAGGGGCTGTCCCACCTACAAATTTGAATCTGAGGTAGCAACTCTCAAATTCAAACTTGGACTCACACTGCGTGAAGCCAGACAGGAAGCACGTCGACGTGGATTCTCTCTTACTCCTTACTCCAGTAATACTGCTCATTCTAACACTTCTCCTAAACCCACCCCTCCTACATCTAACCCCCCCACTTCTACCCTCCTACCTTCCCCAGTCTAACTCTTTTGCTATCCTAAATCCAGAAACTCCAATCTCTAATACAGATACTCCAATCACCACTACAACCCCAACACCTTCCCCTCTCCCTCCTCGCACTCCCCGTAACAGACAGAACAAACGTTCCACCCCCTCTTCCCCTACCACACAATCACCTCCACCATCCTTTGCCCCTACTCTTGAAACACCAGTCCTCTCTTCCCCCCCTCACAAGAAATCCTTTATCCCCCACAACTCCCCAACCAACTCCTCAGAAGAAACTATTGAAAATATTCAAGATTACTTAATGCAAACTGACACTCAACCTACAACCCCTGCTCCTTCCACACTCCAAGTAACTGCTGATATCCATCCCCCTCCTAACGATATCCCCCCTACACCCTATCCCTCCTACCCCCTCCCAACACAGCCCATCCCCCCCCGACCCCGACCCCAACCCAGCCCACATTAACCCTCCCACCATCCCCTCTATCCCTTCCACTCCCTCCTGGATACACACGTGAATCCCTTATGTCACAAGTATCCCCTTCCTCAGACCCTCCATCTCCTAATACCCCTCCTGATAGAACACCAACTCCCACATCTCTCCCATCTCAAACCTCTCAGTCCTTATCCCACCCTCTAGCTGATTCCCCCTCAAAGTCTCCAACACGTACTGCAATCTATATCACTAAATCAACGAAAGTATAACTATCCTTCATTGGAATATTCGCGGTTTCCGCTCCCACAGACCTGACCTTCGTCATATCCTTTCCTCTTATAACCCATCTATTGTATGCCTTCAAGAAACCTTTCTTACACATCCTCCAATACCAATCCCCAATTATCATTTTGTCTCTTCCCCACATTCCCTTTATGTCTCGTCTATACTTATCAATCAGAAAACACCTTATGTCACACCACCCTTTCAAACCAATGTCCCTTGTACAGTTATTCGTATCTTCCTTCATCGTTGGATCACAGTGATTTCAGTCTACTTCTCCCCTTCCCACCCCATTGACTTTGTTGCTTTTGAAAATCTAATTTCCCAACTTCAACCACCTTTCCTCATAGTAGGCGACTTTAACTGCCGCCAAACTCTTTGGGGTGATTCTTTTACCAACTCCCGAGGCCGATCTCTAGAGCGCTTCCTCTCCACAGCTGACCTTACTATTCTAAATTCAGATCGCCCCACACACTTTGATACACGCACGCAATCTTTTTCATGCATTGACCTCTCTCTATGCTCCCCTTCTCTTCATATAGATTTCCACTGGTCAGTCTTAGACCACTTTCCCTATAGTGACCACTTTCCAGTTCTCCTTTCTCCTACTTCATACGTACCACTTCCTAACTCCCCACGCTGGTGCTTTGATAGAGCCGACTGGCATACTTTCACTTCGCTCTCTGCTATTCATACCCCTCCATCCTCCCTCACCTCCATTTCAGAAATGATACAATGTTTCACAACTACAGTCTTAAGAGCTGCACATACAGCTATCCCTCGAACCTCAAGACCATATACCTCTAAATGTGTTCCATGGTGGAATTCTGATTGCACTAAAGCACTTCGCTTAAAACGTGCAGCCTGGAACAGTTACCGCTACAAGAGAGGTACTCCAAATCAACTATCAGCCCTTATCTCCTTTAAAAGAGCATCTGCCTGTCTTCGTCGTACAATCCGGAATAGTAAAACAAATAGCTGGCGAAATTATGTTTCATCAATTACATCCTCTACATCTATCTCAAATGTATGGCGACGAATCCATAAACTATCAGGCAAACATCCCCCCCATCCTGCCCCCGTCCTCCATATTCGAGATACCCTCATTTCTGATCCTCTCCAAGTCGCTAATGAACTGGGTGATTATTTCAGCCAGGTCAGTAGTGGCTCTCACCTTTCTCCACACTTCTCTTCTATCAAGACCACCAGAGAACGTACCCCCATTACCTTCACCCCATCCTCCGCTGAGTCCTATAATGCCCCATTTTCTTCCTCTGAACTCATTACTGCCCTACAATCGTGCCGCAACACTCATGAAGGCCCTGACGGTATTCACTACCGTATGCTCCGGCAACTCCCATCTTCCTCCTTATCCTTCCTATTAAAAATTTACAACCACATATGGACATCAGGAAATTTTCCTTCTAATTGGCGAGAAGCTCTTATCCTTCCCTTCCTGAAACCCAATAAATCGGGTACCCTCCCTCAAGACTATCGCCCCATCGCACTAACTAGCTGCTTGTGCAAACTATTAGAGCGAATGGTGAACTTCCGCTTAATGTGGTATCTTGAATCTCACAATCTTCTCTCTCCTTCCCAATTCGGTTTTCGCCGTGCCAGAAGCACAGCTGACCCCCTTGCTCATTTTGAGACATATATTACATCCGCATTTGCACGCCATGAATCCGTACTAGCTATATTTTTTGATCTAGAAAAAGCATATGATACGACATGGCGGTACCATATTCTCCAACAATTGTCCTCTCTAGGCATACGTGGAAACATGGGTGTCTTCATAAAGTCTTTCCTCTCCCAACGCACTTTTCAGGTCAAAATTGCTTCTGCCACATCATCTTTCTTTCCTCAAATCGAAGGTGTCCCACAAGGCAGTGTGCTCAGTACCACTTTATTCCTTCTAGCTGTTAATGATATTGTCTCAGTTTTACCACCAGGAGCCCGGTCATCACTATATGTTGATGATTTAACCATCTATGCATCTGGCACATCCATACCAAATCTCTACCAATCTCTTCAATCTGCAATCTCATCAGTATCTTCCTGGGCCACAAACCATGGCTTCCGCTTTTCTATCTCTAAATCTTTCTCCATCCTTTTCTCTCGCTCACGTGTAAATCCCCTACCCCCACTCTTCCTATATGGCACTCCACTCCAATGCCGTTCCTCTGGCAAATTCCTAGGCGTCATTTTTGACTCCAAACTGACCTGGCGAGACCATATTCTACACATTAAAGAAAAAGCTCTCCGCCGCCTTCGAATTTTAAAAACTCTATCCCATATATCATGGGGCTCAGATCGCAAAACTCTCCTTCATCTTCATGTTACTTTGATCCTCTCCACTCTTGATTATGGATGCCATATCTACTCCTCTGCCTCAACTTCTCTCCTTGCCCATCTTGACACAATCCATC